CTGAACATGAAGAAGGAGCATAAGTATTTGTTTGCCCCTTTGAACGCCAAAGACGATATTGATCACATCGATCAAAAAACTTATGACAAAAACTGGGCTCGACAGCTCCCAAAACAACAATGGGATGAGCCATCTTTCTATAAACTCTACCTTGTACAAAAAATTGATGGCATTGTACTGGAAGGAGGATGTGAGCAACCCTCTCCATCGAGATGCCCTCAACTTGCATACTGGCTATTCGCAATCGACGGCTCAGGATTATTACGAGGTCGCTTCGAGCAAAAAACGTGATGCGGCTTTAGCGAGCCATTACACGGATTTTGTTCTGACACGTGGAGACTTTAGCGCAAAAGAGCTGGACTCAAGTAATGAGTCCAAGGAAATAGATGACGAAGATGATGACATTGAGAGCGAAGATCATAACAAAGATGATAGCATTGACATGCCAAGAAAGTCAAATTTTCCTCACGCAGTGCCACTAACTTTCGTTTCAAGCGGTTCTGGTGCAACTGTCACACATAGAAGACCACTGAACGTTAATGAAATAGCAAATTTCATCAAGAACCGACAGCAGAGGCGAAACAGACAGAAATAAACTCGATTGCCCGAGCACTACCCCATTCTTGCCGACCTGTACGTTCGGTATGTGCAGAAACCAGCTAATTTCTCGGCTGTTTAGATCCAAAAATTTACCCTTGAATATGGACGCTGCTAAGACCATTTTCAAGCATGTCAGCAAGGTTCGAATGGAGGCCGTTTCGAGCGAACAGTGAAACTTTGATTACTTTGAATTTGTTTTTTTGCTTACTTGATTATTGGTTACTTGGCTTCATTACTTGATAACTGAATACTTGATTGTTGATTACTTGTTTATTGCTTACTTCCTATTTTGATTTACTTAATTTCTTTTAATCATTTATTTAGCAGGTTCGAACCTTGGAAATCACCTGAGCTTTTTTGTATTGTAAGCTTAAAAAACGGGAACGATTGTGTCCGTCTCCTCGTTGGCGATTCTGGAAAGTTTCTCCCGAGATTTACTGAGCGACAATTGATTGCTTGCTTGTTATTGTTAACTTGTTTTCTCATTTGTTATTTACACTTTAATTCTTTATCGATTACTTGATTTTTTTCTTATTTTTCAACCTTTTACTTTTCTCTCCTACTTTAACTTCATTCATGTGGTAGGTCATTTGTGAGATTAACAAAAGGTTGCGACTCGGGCAAATTGCTAGGTCGTGTGTTATAAAAGAAGGTTTTCCTAGGAGCATACTTTTCATTGCTGGCAGAACTAAAAACTCTTCTTCGAATTCAGATTTGTCAAGATGAAATTTAATTTGACATTTATCTATAATTTTAAGAAGTCGACCTGGTGCCATTTTTTAGATGAATTTGACATTGGTTCTTGTTTAGATACATTTTCTTGGCTTTCGTCGAAGATTTGGCGATAAATTTTTTCTGAGAGAGCACTCGCGCAAGCACCAGTATCTATTAGTGCTTTGCGATATAATATTTTAGAAAGGCATATAATTTAGACTGCTTTGTCTTTTTAAAGTTAAGATTATATTTATTTCTTCTTTAATTTTTCATGTAGAAACTTGCGTAGAAAACTGCAGGCATTAAGGATGTGGATCTGTGCGTGGAGTTATTAGTTTTTTGGTTGCACTTGGGAAAGGATTTTGTGCTTCTTTCTGTGCTTTTGGCTTTGAAGACAAAATTTAGCAGTGCGGTTGGGATAACCCCCAGTTTTGCATTGCTTATTAGCATGCGGTGTCACCTTAACATGTCCTGATTGCTGGTTTTCAACAGTTTGAGGACTTTGCTGCTGATTTTGATTATTTCCTTGTTGAACATTTCCCTGTTTATTCTGCGGATAATAAGTTTGGTTCTGGTTTTGGTAATTGCCCTGATTATTTTGGTAGTTATTTAGGTTCTGATAACCACCTCGGTTATAACTTCCACATCCACCTCCAAAGTTTTCTCTTTTACTGCCTCTATAGTTTGAGTTGGAAGACGATTGCTGGTTTTGGTTCCAACTATCTTTTCCTTTATTTTGACTAAAGTTCCTAAAAACTTTGTTTTGCTCGTTGATTTGTTTTGTTAACTCATCTACTTTGGAATCTAATTCAACCTTTTGCTTACTACACTCTACCATTACTGCAGTTAGACGGTCAGTTTGAGGATTACTTTCTGGTTCAACTGGGTTGATACTTGTGAGATCATCAACGGGACAAAGTTCTCTAAGAATTAATTGCTGTCTAGCTATAGTGCTTAAGTCTTGTACGCTAGTGGTTGTTTCTTCTTTCTCAATTAATTCAACGCGAATGAAATTTGGCATTTCTTTTTTAAAGAGTCTCATTACATAACCTGTTCTCTCTTAATCTGCAAATCTTTGTCTATCTCGATTTGCTTGATGCTCATTTGCTTCTCTCGCAACTTCTGCTGCGTCAGTACTTGCTTGCTGCTGGAGTGACTGCTTAAGATATCGGGCCAGGAAAAGCATGAAGTGCTAGATTCTGGAGTTTTACAAAAAAAACTCTTGCAGCTGTTCCTCTTTGCGTTTGAATTTTGAACATTCTAACTTCAGCTGATGCAATTTTCTTAATTTAGGATTGCAGAAGTGATTTTTTAAGCTTGTAACGCCAATTCTGTGTCCTCTCTTTTTATTGCCGTAAGTGTGCGTGAAAGAACTGTAATGATGAGTCTTTTAAATAAAGTTTGAGATAAATTACTTGTTGTGGTTATGCTACTTCTGATACATCTATTATGCTTCTAAATAAAGATTCAAAATCTACCCAATTTTCTAAAGATGAACCACCTAACTTAGTTATTGAGACTTTTGGAGCAGCCGCTGGTGGTGCGGGTTCCGTTGTTGGTAGTGGCGTACATCAGCCTCCTGAACCTGTTGATGCTGATGTAGGGGTGGTAGATATTTTTATTGTTGTCATAAACTGTGTTAGTTGTCTTAAACTGTTTTGCATTTTCGTTAGCTATAGTCTTTTCCAGTTGCCATTTTGATTTTTATAACAGTGGATTTGTGGCTTTCTAGAGTGTTGTTTTACTTGAATCAATTTACTGCACAATATGGATTGGTTAACGCATTTAATTAACCTAGAGCAACTGCCGTGAGAGTGGAGAATTTGCTGAGGTGCGCGCATCTTGGGTTTGTCCACTTTTAATGGTTGAGTGTAGGTTTTTTGTTCGTCGTTTTTGACTATCTGCTATTCCAATTAGCTGCATTTTGAAATTTTGAGTTTCTTTCACTGTCTTCTGAATTCTGAGTCGCCTGTCCTTTCTATCACCATGTCGTATCTCAAAATAATTCTCTGAGGTCTCTGAAGGTTGCTCTGAATGTTACTGAGTTTAGCTATTATAGAATGTCGCTTTCCAAATGACGAGGAAAGTTCTGTACCCGAGAGATATATCGGATGTCATTTGTTCGCAGAAGACTCAGAGAACAAAGAAAAAATTGTGACAGAGGCTTTTAATTTTAGTATATCTGGTCACTCTCGCTGATATCTCGCGAGTGATTTTTCAATTTATAATCCAATAGTTATAAAGTTATCAGTAAAGATCGGTCACTCTGTTTTCATCATCAAGCCTTTTTCGGACTTTATTATTTGAGTTCAAACGTTTTCTTCCTGTTTCTTTCTCAATGATGTTTGTCCACTCGTTCACATCTTCCTGTTACATCACAGAACATATAATCTGTGGTCGTTAACACCAAAAAGGGCCTTGAAGTAATTTGATTAGGTCAAATAATAAATCACAGTCGTAAATAGAGTTTAGGGATGAGACAATTTAATTATTAAATTGTGTTGTCGCTTATTGTGAAGCACTATTGTTTAATGATTTCGTTCATTTTCTTCGTTGATTTCATAACAAATCATTGTTTGAGCAAACTGTGCCCTCTACACTATTAATTTAAAAAATTGAGCAAGACTGCGAGATTTTTTTTGCTTTCATATCTCAGATAAAGGATGGATCATCTTGTTTTAAAATTTCTTAGTCTTCTGGGGATGAGGCTGCTTCTGAATATACAGAAGGAAAACTTTTCAGCTACTACGTGTTTAATGCGATTTAGATACAAACCAATTCCGACTTTCAGAAAATAAGATTAAAACCTTGGGAGAAGCAACAAAAAAAAATTTCAAGGGCAAACATGTCTTTCTCTACAGTTTTGTCATTAATTCAGTTTCCAATAAAATTGAATAATTTTTGAATTTCTGTTAGATAAAATGGAAGCTGTAATTCTGCTTTTTGAATTGTTTTTAGTTTTTGTAGATGTTTTCTAGTTCATTTATTTTGTATTCATTTTTTCCACCTGCTGGCTTGCAGGTAGCTATCTGTAAGGTGCAAAAAAACCCTGATCCTTCTGCTGGCTACCTCCACTTCAGAGCAGCTTCAAACCATAATTTTAATAGCTTCAAGGTTTGTAGACATTTGCCGGTTTTGATCCTAATTCGACCCTAGTTCAAGCTGGATTGTTCCCTACTCCGACTCTGATTTGACCCTAGTTCGACCCTGATTCGACTCTAGTTCGGTCTTGATTCGACTCTAGTTCGGTCTTGATTCGACCCTGATTCAACTCTGGTTCGACCCTGATTCAACTCTAGTTCGACCCTGATTCAACTCTAGTTCGACCCTGATTCGGCTCTAGTTCGATCTTGGTTCGACCCTGATTCAACTCTAGTTCCACCCTGATTCGACTCTAGTTCGACCCTGATTCGACTCTAGTTCGACCATCAGACTGTAATTTAGTATGATGCTTCGACTATCAGACCGAAACCAGATGTGTATTTTCGGTATGGAAAATTAGCAGTTCGACCGACTTCGGCCTGATCATATTTCGACCACTTCGACCCGGTAAGATAACCATTTCCAGTGAACCCGGGTAGCCGAACCGCGACTTTTAGAAATATACACGAAAGCTTATTCATCGAGTTATGAATAAATTCAAATTGCTGTGGTATTTTATAAAACTCCGACCCAGTCATGTTCCTTTCAATTCGAAAAAGCAACCGACCCTGTAAGTCGTACGATAAGCCAAACATGAAAGAGGATGTATACAAATTAACATAATCAAGGTTCATTACACGGTAAACAATGCAGACTGCTCAAATTTGAACAAACTAAAATAACACTTATTGTTCAGAGCTTAATGCGAATATACAATTTTAGAGTGTGGACCATACTCATACATAATCTCGACTCGTCATACAATCCATCACGAGTCAGAATCATCTTCTTAGTTGTTCCTTCACAGATGTTCCAGCAGAAGTTCTTTGTTTTTTCTTCGCAGATTTTCCATCAGCACTTCTTTGTTCATTTTTAAAGATTCACTAAGAGAAAAGATTTTCTTTGTTTCTTGCAATTTTCTCAAACCTCATCAGTTTGCTGCGTCATCATTATAAGAGCTGCACAAGTAATAGCAGTAATATACTAACAGTTTATCGGTTTGTTGTTTATATATTTATCTCTTCTCCCGGGGACCCTTCCGGTGAGTCATTCTGGTGGCTTTTGGATTGATCTCTCCTCCGAAACGATTTACCCACATCCGTGGTGAGATAATTTCCCGCTGACAAAGATGCAGACCTTTCGCCTCCACTGGCTGGCGGTGGTCTGTAGGAGAGGTAGATGGAGCTCTTCGGACTGGAGTCTCCCCTGAGGGAACTGAGCGCCGCCGAGGTGTAGTACCTGCCCATTCTAGATCTGCCCAATCTGCTGACAGAGGCAGACGTACTGGCTAAAGACGCTCTACGATCTAAAACAAAATGAAGAATAAGATCAAAACCATCTATTCACGCGGGGAATGACCAAAGATACGAACTAGTCAGTTCATTAACGCGAACCGCTATAGTGTCCCTGCTTAAGAACTACTTACCTTTTTAAATTTACTTTTCCTGTCTGATCATTTAAAAAAATGTGGGCCAAAAATCAATAGCGAGAAAAAATTTTTTGAAATTGTAAAAGAAAGAAATTAGGTTAAACAGTATTTTTCTTTATTTTTTCTCTATCGAAAGTTTTGCGAACCTTCGATTCGCCTCTGTGCAAACGTTAAGCGCTAAGAATGAAATCAGATTAAGTGCTCTTTTAGGTAGTTCGTAAAATTAAGAAAAATACTATTTAACCTAATTTCTTTCTTTTACAATTTCAAAAAAAACTGAAAATACCCAAAAAAAAAACAGAAGAAATGAACTATCAACCAATTAAATATGAATATAAAAATTGATGGCAAGAAAACTACCATATCAATCCAACTTCGGTTAATGAACGTTTCTTACTTGAAAAATACCAAAAAGCAACGACTCACAATTCCTAACAAGTACAATATGAATGAGCACAAAATCCGAAAGGCAAGGACCATATTTTAAGGGAAAACGATTTTTCTCGTTGGAAATTGGGCTCGTATCCAGTTTCCCTCTCTTGTAAAATTACAACAAACATTTGTTTAAAAATTAAAGCAATGTAGAAAACTGTTGACTTGTTCACATTGACACGTTTTAGTGCAATTAAGAACAGCAAAATTCATCCAAAACATAGCCAGTCGAAGATTGGAAAAGAGTAAAGAACGCAAGTAACCATAAAAAAACAGTGACATTCTTGAAAACTTTCGAATTTCAAAGAAAAAAAATAGATGCCCTTTAAGGTTTTTGAATTTCTAGAACAAATTATGATTGGCGCTTTTTTGAACCCAACTAGAGAAAACTGGATCAATAGGTAAAGTTTTTATTCCGCTGGAAATCTAAAAATTAAATTCCACCTTCGAGTAGAAATCGTTCACCTTTTTTCGTGCCAATTCTACGTTAGTATTTGGAGAGAGCTATTCACGTCACTTTCAGCAGATGAATTTCAATTGAACTCAAAAAGTGCATATATACCTAAGTGAATTCATAAATGCATCAATATGTATGAATGCACATCTGTAGCTATTAGACTTTTAAGACTTTTCCTGAAAAAAAAAAACAAAAAAAAATCAGCAAGACCATATAAGAGTCTTCACTACCTTCATCACTCTTAATATGCTTTTGTAAAAAAAGAATTTTAGAAAAAAATCAAAGAATGGATTGAAAAAGAGCCGGAAATTGAGTATTTTTGCTAATCTCGTTCACATATCAACCATTAGCGTTTTTTCAAAATACTATTTTTGACAGGATGATGAAAATCTAACGAGATGTCTCAATGAGTTATATTGTAGAACTTAGCAAACAGAGAGTTAAAAAAGAGTCAAAGAAAGCAAGTAAACAGAAAAAAAACTGAAGAAAAAAATAGATGCCATTCAAACTCTTTCAATTTTATGATTTGCCTTTTTGGTTGATTTGAGAAAGCTGGATCAGGGAGTAAAATTTTTTAATGCGCTGGGAAATCTGAAAATTAAATTCCACATTCGAAACTAGAAAACGACCATGTTTTTCGTGACCTTTGCACTGTCGCTGTTCGATAGGGGTGGAGTTTTCCTTCTTTTTACACAGAAGCGAAGCTTTGCTTCGCAGACACTAGCCAGAACACGACAGTAAGCTGCTGTAGAAAGTGCAATAAGAAAAAACTAGCGTGTAACGCACCTCAGTTTCAATGCGGGTCATCTTCAATTTTTTTAAATATCTAAGTTCTTTGAAAAATTTCAAAATAACATAAAAACGTCACTTCTCGGAACTAAAAGCAGTTGAGCAGTCGCATTTGGACGCAAGATTCGCAACTGCTAAGAGTACTCACAATATCTCACTACAGCGTTGGGAATTTCAAGCTTCGAAACACTTCAAATTTAAGTTTTCTACACAGAGGCGAAGTTGCACTTCGCATACACAAGCAAAAATATGACCGATAACTCTTCTGGGAAAAACTGATAGAATAAAACTTTGAGTCTACAAAACTTCTTGAGTGACGCACGCCAATTATGAGTCTACGAATGGAAAACGAGTTTAAACGAATAGAATTTGTTTATATAAGTTCGAATAAAAGCACCAATTGTAAAAACTTCAACTTTCGAATTTCAATCGCCAAATATATATGGCCTTAAAGCTTTTTGAAAATCCAGAACTCATGATTCACACTTTTTCGATAAAGGAAACCCAATTTAAGAAAACTGGATCAAATGATTTTTTTATTCCGCTGAAACTAGAATCTGTTCAATTTTTTCGTTTTCGCAATTTACTTATCTTTTAGCAAACGAATTTAAAGTGAACTCAAAAAGAGTATTTAAACTTAAGTGCAATGATATATACATTGAAATGTATGAATGCTTTTTTTTGAAGTCAGTAGAGCATTTTAGACTTTTTCCTGAAAAAAAAACAGAAAAATCACTATGACCGATATATGAGTCTTTACCACTCTTATTTATCGGCTCTTATATAACACAGAGGCGTAGCTGCACTTTTCTACATCCGTCAATGCATAATCCAAGTACATAATGCAAGTATATTATGCAGACACATAAATGATGTTTGCCCTTCGGGAACAAAACCGACAGAGCTTCAGTCGATCTCTATTTAAGAGCAAGCTCAATTTCTGACAGATTTTTGAACGTTCAGTTGAATGGTAAAAATTTAAGCTATTAAGTAGAAAATACTTGCTCTCGCAAGTTTAAGCACAGAGACGAAGCGGAGCTCCGCAACATTTGCGAAGCCAAAGACACACTGTGCTACAAAACAATGAACAAAAAAAAGGACAGAAGTCAAAAAATTCTAGGAAATCATAGTGAAAAAAAATTACTTGAACTTGAAAAATTTGAAAAATTACAGCTACAAAAATTTCATATTATTATCGGATGAAGTTCATAAACGGCCCTTAAAAATGGAAATCATTTACCGAGCGACAACCAAGGCGACAAACTTTGGGTCGAAACCTGTTGAGCCGGAAACAAAACTGCGGTCAGAAAAAACTTCATAAATTTTCAAAGTTTTTACGACCAATCCAAACTAGAACACATAACCCCAAACGGATATGTTTTGCCCTCAAAGTTATGCAAAATAAGTTGAATAAGTCGGTTTAACATTAAAATGAAACTGTTTGAATATTTAGAAAAAAAAACTAAAAACTCAAAATCAGACATTGAAAATACAAATTTGTGAAGTTTCACTTATATTAAAACCTGTTTTAATTGGATAAAAACACATGCTATAAAAAGTAAACCAATAGAAACCCAACCAGATCAAAAAAGGAGTTTAAAAAATTTAAAATGAACCGACTGAAACTAGGACGAAAACCATGTACCCAAAAAAAAAATTGCGATTTCAATTTTGTTGAAAAGATAATTACAACCTGAAACGGGCTTGAACTAATTACTACTCAGGAAATTGAGCATGTCAGAAAAGATCGTCCAGAAGTGGAGATCCTTTGCCTAAAATATTTACGGGGAAAAAGTCTAGTTTTCGATTGAAAAACCATTGCTTATCGCAAGGGTCATTAAAACTCAAGAAATACGTGAGATGATCCATTATATTATATCTAACAATTCAATTTAAAATCTTTGAATAGAAGAAGAGTGAAATGAGAGATGCTTTACGAGTTTTGTTATACCAAGAGAGCGCTCAAATTATTGCAGGTTTATTTATTCACCCCAGCTCTCAAAATTTTGTACGAAAATTATGAAGGCATAGTAACCAGCTGAAAACGCTGAAGGTTTCATGAAAGTTAGTTAACACTACATAGAATTAACGAAAATCAAGCAAATTTTAACACATGGCATAAAGTATAAATGACATAACTTTTGACTGGCATATAGGTCAAAAATCCGAAAATAAATGCAAACATACGAAAAGAAAAGAGCCGGAAAACGGTTTTACCAGAGTAAACAACCGAAAAGTATTCGAAAAGTACAGCAAACATTGGCATCCGGTTTCCATGGTCAACTTCGAAGCTTTTGCGACCGAATGTGGACTGCCATGGCATTTCGTCTCACACTTAACTTAGGATTTTTCAGCAGGAACATCGGACTCAACAGAATATTTCATCACATTTTTGCTTGTATGCCCGTTTGTTTCTCAAAATGCAATTGAGATGCCATTAAAATCAACCAAAATTAAAAGCAGTTCTTAGATACTATTTATGCACCCACCATAAACAATAAAACAATATAACATATTAAGAAATTCAATGTAAATTATGTAATTTTCGATTGGTTAATAATTTGCCATGACAATTCAACGCTCAAAAAAAGATCGACAAACTCACGAGTAGTTGGCGTGTGTAGCAGTTCAGGGTCTGAGTTTGCAGTAGTGGTTAGATTGTTCATGTTGCCACTGGTAGTTGGGTAAGTCGGACTTGAGTTGAAGAGAGCTGTGATCGAGGTGAGTGTCGAGTCACGCTCAGAGATTGTACTCGAGACAGAAATGCTGAATGAAGGCACTTAAAACAAAAATGGCATTTAAATTTTACATTACATAAAAATTGGCAACTATCTTATAAGCATGCAAAGCACTAAACCATAGCCAACAGAGTTGGAAAAGATTGAATGATCTCAAGCAAACAGGAAAATTATACAGACTTATTGTTTGAAAAAATCTTAACTTTCGAAATTCAAAGACAAAAGAAATGCCCTTGAATATCTTTTAAATTCCATAACAATTTATGAGCAACACTTTTTTTGATAAACTCAACCCAGTTTGAAAAAAATGGATCAATAGGAAAAATTTTTATTTCGCTGGGAAATCTGAAAATTAAATTCCACTTTCGTAACTAGAAGTCAACCTGTTTTTCGTGACTTTTACATTTTTGCAGTTCGACAACGGAGTTTGCCTTCCCTTTAACAAAGGAAGCGAACTGAACTAACTTATACTAATTTTGAATAGGAGCGGGCGCCGAACAAAAAAGCGATTTTTTTGTCAAAAGAATTTCCAAAAAGTGTCCAAAAACGGGCCTTTATGCTGCATGAGTGCTCCAAAAATCAGTTTGGTTGACCTAAAAAAAGGTCGACCGTTTTTTGAAAATCTATACCCCTCCCCCCTCAAGAAAACCCCAAATCCGCCTCTAATCTAAGCCCTTTGAAAACAAAAAACGGAAATTGTGACACGTGGCTTAAAATTATATTTACTTCCATCAGTATGTTTCAGAAAAAATCTCACAATAGCAAATGGAACTCACTGGAAGACTTGTCCACTTCAGCTCCCCTGGTTCCTACGATATGTCTATAGTCTGTGGTGCGGACAAAAGCGAAGTCGTCTTCTTCCTCTTTCGCAGGTGCCTCCGCTTTCACCTCACGACACACCACAATCTGATTGAAAAACAGCAACAAATAAACAAAGAAAAAAGTCAATTTGAGTAGACCATGGCAAAATTCTTAAATGTAAGAAACATTTTTGACGCTTCTTTGAAAAAAAAAAATACGCAATGGTCCATATTCCGGTTTCATTAAGCAAATATTTTCCACCTCCACTAAGCAGCAATTTCAAAACAAAAGCTTGTATCACATTAAAATATTTTAAAAAACGAGATTGGTTTAAAATCATCTGATTTTCGTCTTAGTAATTAACTCATAACCGCCATCTAGTAATTGAAAGAGACTTTTTGACACCTTTGCGATGGTTGTTAATAATTATCACGTAAAAGAATGACGGGCTAACCTTGATAACAAAACCCATAAGCACCATGCCTAAGAAGAAGTCCCTGGGCACCGTCTGCTGGTCACCGAAGTAAGCATCAATCACGAATCTGGGCACTCCCTCCGTCGCGTAGGACTCATAGTCGAAATAGGGCTCCAGTTCTGAAACAAGTCGAGTTCCAGTTATGACTGAGCTCTTCCATTGGTAAGCATTAAAATTAAATTAGATACATGTAACACGACGCGACGCTGAGCTTCGCAAGACTTGCGATTTAAAGAAAGAATAATTTTAAATGGAAAAATTAATATAATATTTTTCACTTTTTCCAATTTCATAGAAAACTGAGATCACAAGAAAAGCAAAAGACAGCTTCTAACAAAAAAAAAACACCGCGAAAACAAGAAAAAGCAAAAACCAAATCATAACAAAGTCCCAAAAAAATCATTTTATAGATTGATTATCGATACTCAAAATCGGCTGTTTGTTAGTCTTAATTAAAAGCGTGTTAAAATAAATCAAAAGCAAATTGACGTTCTTAGAGAAGCGGGGAAAAACGGAAAATACGCCATGCAAGAAAAATCTTTGAAAGAATAAAACACAACTGCTGTACAATGAAATGTGCGAAGCTGGTTGGAAAAAATGGATTCGTACTAACTTTCAGAAACTAGAAAATAGCCATATTTTTCTTCGTCAAACTTCCAAAATTAAAAGGAATTGAAGTAAAGTTTCAAAGAAAGAAGTTGCACTTCATATACTTAGAAGCAAAAAAAAGATAACAGATAAGGCTGTTTCTATTTCCGTATGCATGCTATGTAAAAAAATGACATTTTTTCGTCTAGTAACGCATTGATAAGACCAACAGTCTTGCTTCAATTTAGCAACATAATTTATTAACACAGAGGCGAAGCTGTGCTTCGCAAACACTAGCGAGAAAACAAAAAAGCAGCTCTGTAAAGTAAAATATGAAAAGAAGAAGTGAAAATAAGCCTTGAAATATAAAATTTTACGGTGATGAAATCGATCATGCGACCCGATTTAGAGTCCCTTATCCTCGCATCTGCGCCACGGGTGATTATTAATTAACACTAGCCACAAATAAAGCAGCAACACATGCTAATAAATTGCCACTGCAATGCAGAAAAAACGCACCAAATACAAATAGACACTATTTTGCATGTAATAACTTGGGATACAACTAATTGGAGGCATCCACACTAACTTGGCATAAAATAAATTGAAAAAAAAAAAGAAAATCAAATTATGTATAAATTATGCATTTCACAAAATTGCGAGATTCACTTAGTTGGAAATTTTCTGAAATCGAGTGTTTATTATTGTACTTTTTTTGAACGAATAGAATAAGAAATGCATCGACTGTGTTAACTTATTACTAATCGAATGTGAAAGCATATACTATCAAAGAGCCGTTAAGGTTCCACCAAAGTGGCACCAATGTTTGCGATTTAGGTTAGAAAAAAAACAGAGTAGTCGTAGTATAACACTAACGCTCACTAAAGTTCGATGGTGCAAAAAGAATTTCTGGCCAGAAATTTAGATTAGATATAAAGGTTTTCATGTCAGGAAGAAAGAGTTTTTTCGGTACGGGTAAGTAACCCACGGCACGGAGAGAAAATTAACTAAGCCTTCTGTTGGCTAGCGCCTCAAGTGAGCACTAGCTCAATGCATTAATTTAATTACTTCAATAAGTTTTTCAAGCATTGGGCGATTTTCACGTAAAATCTTTTTTTGCCAAGAACCTGGTAATCTTCTTGTGCTAACACGCTAACATGCTCACTTTACCGGGTTATATGCTAGCTTTCACGCTGTTAATTGCAGAAAAAAAATTACCTTACAATTAGCGCGTAAAACGCAAGTAGCTTATCGTGTACGCGGTAAGATAACTATTTCCAGTGAGCCCGGGTTGCGGAACAAAGACTTCTTAGAGATATACGTGAAAACTTATTCTTCAAATACTGAATAAATTCATATTGTTGTGATATTTCGGAAAACTCCCATCCATGTTCCTTTCAATTCGCACAGCCAACCGTTTAATTCGTACGACAAGCAAAACATGAAACCTATGCTTATTCGACGCTCATAGTAAAATAGGCAAACTGGACAACAGCTTTAGTAGAAAAATGACTAGAACTCAAAAAACAGTCATAAGATAAATGAAGAAAAAAATGTTGATTAAAAAAACTCCAAATACTAACAAAAAAAGCTATTGTAAGACTGCTCGATCACGTTACTCGCTAGAAATTAGAATAAATCTCAAAAAAATTTCCATGTTTTTCTCGAAAGTCGTTCTAATCGCGACTGAAAGGGCTTTAATATAGATCACTCGACCCAATCCAATGATTATTTGTGGTACCTAATTTTGCGTGGAAAAAAAAACCAAAACGCACCCGAATACGAGCTTGAACAGCTCCCGAATTTCAATGTTCGGAAAAAAAATGTGAACAAAAATTACGTCATATCGTTGCAATATCTGAAATGTAGAGAGTTTTTTGATGCTCTAAAACCCCATTTCCAACAAATCAGATTGATGCATCGGATGTTTGAAACCTAGCGACGGATGAACGGGTTTAAAAGCTCTACCAAGAACTAGTACACCAAACAGTAAGGACTTAGACAGTCACAAGTGTACAAAGCATTCTGAAAATTCAACGAGATGTCACATTAAAAAACTCAAGCAACAATATTTTCGCAAAAGCGACATAATAAAAAATCATTGTAAAAGTCGTAAGGGTCTTTTCATTTTTGAAAAAATCTAAGCATTTGCAAAAAGAAGAATTGAGACCAAATGCAATCAGTATTAGCTAGACGTGAAACAACACTAAAACTGCGAAATTTCCAAAAAAAAAAAACATTAAAAGTCAGATATATTGTTGCTATTTTGTTTTTATACAGAGGCGAAGCGAGATACTCGAAAGCTTTAAAATGCACAAAACACAAAATTGGGATATGAAAACTTGAAATGAAATCAATTAAAGTCAACTACACTAACTTTGACATTTAACAAATAAACAAGTTGGCATTTCAAAACGATAAAATTTTGTAGAATATTTGAACCAAATTATCAGAAATTTCAAAATTTATTATTTTCGGATTTGAGAGAACTTCACACTTGATTTCCAGAAATATTAGGATAAAAACTAAAACAAAACTTAGCACAGAAACGAAGCATCGCTTCGCAAACACTAGCGAGAACACGACAAAAAGCAGCTCTATAAAGTGCAATGAGAAAAAATAGAAATACGCCTCGTATTAGTAAAAATTCGATTAGGTCTCGGATTCGACCTGCGACCTAGACATTTTTGGTCTCACGCACTAACCACTTAGCCAAGCACGCTTAATAGATCACAAACACTAATCACAAATAAAGCAGAGAACAGATGCTATTGAAATTCCAATGTTAGATCCTGAATAAAGCAAAAGTGCTACCAAATAAGTGAGCATTTTCAACTTTCAAGGAATACTTTTGTTTGCGAATTAGATTAGAAAAAAGAAGGTTTGTACTAATACACTACGCTGATCTCTGGTGAAACTAAATTTATCAAAAAGTGAGAAAAGAGCCGTGAATTCAATTACCTGTACCAGAAAGAAAAGAATAAATACAGCCGGCCGCACTAACAAAAATCACAAAAGTATCGGCCAAAGTTGTTTAACGAACAAAAGAGCCGAAACAAAAATTTAAAATGAAAAAAAAAATGAACACGTTTCATTTGAAAATAAACATCAAAGAAGGCCTGTAAGGCTTATTCAATTTTTTTTGTATAAATTCAATCATTTCCATAAAAAAGCAACGAGACAAACCAGTGCTAAAAACAAGCGGAGACCTGTAGCATAAAAAAGTCAAACTAACATTTTCGGCACCGAAATTTTCTTCTTTGCATGAACTTTTAAACTGCACACAAAACGTATATGCAACCAATACAGTAGCCATGCAGTTAACTTAGCAGCTGTAACACAGAGAAGAAGCTTTGCTTCGCAAACACTTGCGAGAACACGACGACAAAAAGCAGCTTTATAAAAAGCGATAATTAAAATTAGAAAAAAGCCTCGAATTAGTAAAAATTCGGCTAACTCTGAGATTCGAACCTACGACCGAGAGATTAAGAGTCTCACACACTAACCACGCAGCCACGGAAGCTTTACAGACACCAAACACTAGCCACAACAAACAAAGCAGAGAACAGATGCTTTGCAATTTCCAATGCTACAGCAGTGAAATTTCCACATAAGTAAATACTTATAATGAACACTTTTATTTGCAAGTTAGGTTAGAAAAAAAGAAGGTTCGTAATAATACACTGAGCTGATCGCAGTGTAATTACATGATATAATGCTTACCATTTCGTCCATTTGTTACCATTCTGTGAACAAAGTTATTGACGGAAAAAAGTCCAGTAGCCATTGCAACAATCTTGGGTTATTTTTCACGGAATTACTCCCACCCAAAACAATAAAATATATCAGACTTCAAATTTACCTGTACTGGAACAAAATAAACTTTTCCTCCGAAAAAAAGCGGTGAGGACGTTAAATTGGTTAGAAGATTCAGAGGCAATCAGAATCGAGTCTTCACTAGCAGTCGCAGCACTAAGCAATTCGAGTCCAAACAAGATAGAATGCCAGAACATCTTATCTTGGTATCATTTTAAAGAAAAGAGGATGTTCACTCGATTCAAATACCTTTCGTGGTGTAAGTGAAGCTTCCATATGCCAGAATCAGGAAGAACACAACCCAAGGTGTAATGTAAACAGTTCCAATATCTTTGAGGATGAAGTTCTCGTACCAAAACCAGGCAAAGAAACACGCGAAGAGAAAAGACAAAAGGAACGCGTAGACAAACCACATACCGGTACTTTTTACCTGAAACATCGAGTAAAAATAGTTATAAATTGTTCACCGTTGCGATATGGCAACGTGCACAGAAAATTTTTTAGGGGGTAGAAAAATTTGCCTCATTCAGAATTGTGGGAGTGGCAGACGATACTGATCTACATAAAAAGAAAAAAAAACATTTCTGCGCATTGTTACCATCGGGAAAATACAGTAAACTTATGAGTAAGACCAGTTTTAGCATGAGTTGCCTTCACCAGAAAAAAAAATCAGACAGACTGTTTCATAGAACAAGTAACATCACCGTAAACATTTTACGAAACTTGAGGGCCCTGACAACTCGCAGAAAAAAGACCATAACCAAATGACAATTGGAAAAGAGTAATACACGCAAAGTAATGCACTTAATTGTTTTTTTTTTGAAAACTTCAACTTGCGAATTTTAAAGAAGAAAATATATGCCCTTAAAGCTCTTCGGATTACACGAAAAGTTTGTGTTTGACCCTTTTTTGATATAAACCAAACCAAGTTATGAAAAATGGATCAATAGGTAAAATTTTTGTTTCGCTGGGAAATCAGAAAAATAAAATTCAATTTACCAAATTAGAAGTCAATTACAATTTTCGTGATCTTTACACTTTTTCTGTTCGATAGTCGAGTTTTCCTTCCTTTTAACAAAAAAAAATGGACTGAACCTAAAAAAAACATAGCCAATCGAAGATTGGAAAAGGGTAATGAACGCAAGTAAACAAAAAAACACTGACTTTGTTGAAAAAATCTCAACTTTCGAACTTCAAAAAAAATAGATGCCCTTTAAGCTCTTAGAATTTCCATAACAATTTATGACTGGCGCTTTTTTGATAGCATGAACCCAACTAGAGAAAACTGGATCAATATGTATTTAATCCGCTGGAAATCTGAAAATTAAATTCCACTTTTGAAACTAAAAATCGCTCACGTTTTTTGCGCCATTTCCACGTTCGTATTTGGAGAGTGCTATTTACGTCACTTTCAGCAGATGAATTTTAATTGAACTCAGTGTGCATATATACCTAAGTGCATTCATAAAAGCATCAATATGTATGAATGCACATCTGTAGTTATTAAAGACTTTTCCCGAAAAAAAAATCAGCAAGACCTATTTAAGAGTCTTCACTACGTTCATTACTTCTAAACATTCAAAAACCAAACCACGAAAAAAAAATTTGAACCTGAACAAAATTTGATTTTTCCGGGAAAAAAATCACCTTTAGACTTTAAACTAAAAAAAAACAATAAAAATCACCAAGACCTATCTAAGAGTACTCACTAAGGTCATTACTCTTAACAACTCAATGAAAAGTTCGCAACTTTAACACAGAAGCGAAGCTGTACTTACATAAAACACAAAGGCCTAAAAAGACGGAAAATTGTCAAAGCCTTTTAGACATCAAAACTAGAAATATATAACGCTTATTTATACAGCAAAACAAAATCAAAGATACTTTAGTCTACGAATTATATCATTGTTTAAAAAACTTGCAAGGAGTAATTTGTTTCGTGTTGAGTCAGCTCTCCAAAATGAAATGCCCTGTACCATCCTTCTTCAATTTATTACTGATGCTCACTTAAATCACTCTAGATAGCGGGTTTGATATCTGATTCTTTTGTCAAACAACCACAAGGCCAAACCTATATTCTTTCGAAGGGGTCAAGCTTAAGAGAAATTTTCGCGTAGTTAAGTTCCTATTTCTGAACCCGAGCTTAGGTAAACAAAGCTTTTAATTTTCTTCGGGAACTCAATGCCTTGCTTATAATCCTCAGCCAACCCGAAATCTTGATTTTTTTTTTGCCAGTTCACAAAAGAAAAATGGAAATACAACCTCGAAAAAATCTGGGAGAAAATTAAGGCTTTATAGCAGATTTTTTTTCGAAATTTCTAAGTTCGCTTCAGAATGGTATTTAGCTTACCGAAAAAATTTTTGCAGAAACGCTTGCTACTTTTCTTTGCAATAAGAAGTAAACCATGCGGAGACAACAGTCGTTAATAAATACAAATATTTATAAGATAATGATTAAAACCGAGTAATTTAAACAAATAGCAAAAAAAAAATTTAGACTCAAAAACTGTGAAATTATTATTTTTATAATTGTCAAAATAAATGAGCAACAGGTACAGAAAAAAAAACCTGCAGACAAAAAAAGAAGTGAAAATGTAGCAATTGAGAACATAAACAACAAACAATTGGAAAAGAGTAACGAAACTGAAGAAAAAAACGACTTGTTTGTTCAAAAATCTTCAACTTTTGCATTTCGAAGAACAAAATAGATGGCCTTAAAGTTCTTTGAATTTGTAAAACAATTGATGAAGGAGACTTTTTTTCTAAAAATTGACCCAATTTGAGAAAACTGTATCAATAGGTATAACTTTTCTTTCGCTGGGAAATCTGATAATTTATTTCCATTTTCGAAATTAGAAGTTGATCACGTTTTTCGTGAACTTTAAAATTTCTGTTCCATAAAGGAGTTTGCCTTCCATTTAACAATAGAAATGCACTGAACTGAAAAAAATCACAAATCAAACGGCGAAAAATCAAAATTGAGCGTGAACAAATTTTAAGACTTTTTCCTGGAAAAAACTAAACAAAAAATCAGCTAGACCTATATAAGAATACTCACTACGTTCATTACTCTTAAACAGAGAGATTTGTTATTAGACAATTTAGTTACAGAAATAACTCCAGTACCCGATTTGATGCACTTGCTAATGAAAAGTGTAATAGTTTTTACTGAACCTTTCTTGAAAAAAAAATTAATCGAAAGTAATTTGATGACATTTATAGTTTGTTTGCTTGTTGGAACCATTAAAAATCTTTTCAGCACATAAGTTGCAATTTAAAAAAATGTACCAACTAAAAATGGAAATATCCAATTTACATCTCAGTGCAATAACAAAATTTCCGATTCAGCTTTTAGCGAACAATTGAAGAGAAAAAGCGAAATCGAAACCAACCGGAAATCTGACGAAAACAGCAAAAACAAAAATTTTCTTAATTCTGTCACTACAAATACAATTGTCAGCGATTATAGCCTGTAGCTGTGCAAGTAGAACAGAATGTTCCGACCATTGCCTTAAAAAACAACAAGAAACAAAAGAAAAGATCTGAACGAAACGCGTGCTTACACATCAACAACCGTAGAAACACAAGCAAAGTGGACATCACTTTTTGCTGAAAATTGAACAAAAAAAATAAAATTTACGCTCCCCCCTACAGAAACACACAAAAGCATAAAATCTATGTTTCTTTCAATCACCGCTTTTCAGTCCGAAAAATTAAGGCCAAACAAGCTTTTAGGCAAAAAAAATAAGACCTTTACCACCTCAGGCGTAGTAATTGTCTCAAAAACTATGGAAAAACTAAGATAGTTTGAATTTCAATTAAGCCAAGCTATCATATGACATAATTATTTTGAAAAACAAGAAAAATCCATGATGCGGCAACTAAGCCGACAAAACATAGGCCGAAAATTTGGAACGGAAAAAACAGACCTGTCTGGATTCGAAACCACGACCTAGGCGCAGTTGTTACCTCTATGCCAGGTTTGCCGGTAGAAGCCAAAAAAATTGATTTACATATCAATATCAAGAGTAATGATATAACTTCTTGAAAGTACTGTCAGTAGTAGCGTTAGACCGGTAGTTTAATTTAAATTTTCAAGAATTTGGGCATGACAGTACCTGAAAGGAGTGCACGTGAATGAAATATAGTGATTCAAGTGATTTTGTAAAACAAGTTAACCCGAAAAAAGTCTATATTCCAATTAGAAAACGCTTGCTTCTTTCGAAGCTTCAAGAAAATGAATGTCTTAGTCCTAAAATAGTACCAAAGGGTGGCCCTTTGGGTCGTCAAGGGGGTCGAATTCCTGAGAGTACGAGGTGCGATAGCAACCCCCCCCCCCCCCCTCCCCCAACCATCCATTACTGGTAACGTCCTTACAATATGAACGAATGTTAACTAATCTGAACTTTCAATAATCAGATTGTAAAGATCACGACTTTTCCGCTGAGCTATTAAAGAATTGATATCATGAGTTCTAATGATTGAGCGGCTCTTTTCCAACTATAGCTCGCGTCAATAGTTCACTCACGAACCTCTATTCATATTCGGGAATGTTGCAAAATATTTTTGTACTACAGTATAAATACTTGAACACTTTAAAATACTATACGAACCATTCCGTCTGAAGTTAGGCCGGCTGACATCATCACTTCACAGAGATAGTTGTAAGTTCCCATGATATAAATTGCTCCATGGGCAGACAGAACATTTTGATCTGAACACATATTTCTTGTTTTTGAATTCACCTCGTTAACTATTCAACCCCCAATAGACAACGAAAATCAATTTATGGTTTCGCAGGATAATGTGGGAAAAACCACAGTGTTTGACATCGACAATGGAGGGAGGGGCAGTGAAAGAGTCTACAAAAAAGAGTATAGGAGCCTTCAAAATTTATGAAAAACTGATTCTCTAAAAGCATTCGATCGTAACAAAGAGCTAATTTTTTACATATCTGTCTCTAACAGCCACAGGATGGTAGTAGTTCTAGATGGGGAAAAAAAGAACCCTTCTCGCGCAAGAAGTGATAACTTTCTACTTACTGACATGCACCGCAACTCTTCGGCAGACCCGGTAGTAACTGGTCGATGGAATGATCTGACGCCTCTTCAATGCCGCCACTCCTAGAACAGACGAACATTACCGTTTGTTACCGTACAATTACAGTGACAAAAATTACAGTGCGAGAGACAGAGAGAAAACACTTTATTGTTGCCAGTTACAAAACTGATTGTGGAAGGAACAAGTGTACATTATTGTTAAATACGTGAACAAAAAAATGTTTCATCAGTCACTAAATACATAAGATTATTTAAATCTCCTTAAGAAGTAAGAGGGAAGTTGGGTGTTGTAGAGTCTACCCTTTATATGTATTACAATTTATCCTCTAGTATGCATTTTTCAAATTAATTTGTTTGATAGCGTACAGGTTTTGTTCATGGAGATGATTTTTTGAATTACCAAGTTAAAACTTTTTATTGATGTAAATTGGCATGACCTACGAAAAAATTCGGTTTTACACAATCCTGGCAGGAGAATTGAGCCGGTGCGATGATTACAGCGGAAATTAGAATTCGGAAACTGCAGGAAGTTAAATGCTCTAATTCTGTTTTGGCTTAATTTATGAAGATATTGTGTTGATCTGTATTTGATTATATATCTAGCAGTGGGAACTCTGTGTTTTTCCCTCACATTTGTGACAGAATCTCTATGTTTATGTTCATGACAATTCTTATGGCCCATTTTATTTGCTTTTGCAGTTAGTCTAGGTTTTCTTCAGTACAACCATTCAAAAGCATGCATGGATAGTGTAAATGGCTTAAAACAAGGGAATTGAGTAACAGGTTTCTGATTCGCAGAGAAATTTCATCTCTTATGCATTTGATTGTTTGGGTTGAACAAGCCATTTTCTGTAACACTTTGTTAATTTCTTTTTTTTTAGGTTTGGTGGACATTGAAATTGAAGGATGTGTTTTATAGACGCCTAAAGTTGAAAAAGTAATTAAGCAGGTCAACTTTCTTATTAAGCAGGTCAACTAAAGAAATTAAGCAGGTCAACTTTCTTTTTATTATCATTGTTTAAATTAGCAAATGAGGTCCGCAATTCATTTATCTGGATAGTTGGAGTAAAGGACTGTTGAATTGATTAAAGCTTTGGACTTCCCATTTCGTACCGGGAACAGCCTTCGTGCGCGCAACTTTCATGGCGCCTTGTTTACAATTATACGCGTAGTCGTAAAAGACGTAGTCTGCTGGTATTAACTCGAAGCCTCAGCAGATGAAATTTGTACACTTGGAAGTCAAACCATAGAGTCAACAGATGAGAAACTATCTACTAGCACGTGTTATTGGCAAGTATCGAAGCAAAAAATGACTTGCGTGAAAAATTAATGGGTAGCATCCACAGCTAATATTTAGCAACTAAATCAGGTCATTATACCTCTCTTTACAAAACAGCTGCTATTAACAGTGATGTCCAATATTACTATTCGCTCAGCAATTTGTTTCGCTGAATGGCTTAAAAAAATGATTTGTTAAACTGATTTAATCAATTATCAATTGGTTGAACCGATTTGGTTAAAACAGGTTTTAATATTAACCAATTATTCTTGGTCCGCATTAGCTTTTTCGGAAAGGTATTCAGAATCTAGGTAAGGCCAAGGAATCACTTTTTTACACGCCACTGAAAACCTTCACACAACTGTGATTCATCGATCGATAATTAGCAAATTTTGCAATTCAATACTTCGGCAACGTCCGGCGAAAACTGCCTGTCGAATCTTTTAACACAGGGGCGAAGCTGGGCTTTGCACTACTTGCAATACAAAACAAGAGAACCGCTGAGTCGGAAAAAAAATGTGAAAAATCTATCAAAATAAATCAGGCTAGTTTTGAAACAAAAACGCGCCAAGACAAAAGAAAGTGAAATGAGCATTGGAGAAAAAAACCAAGAGGTAACAAAGCCGAAAAAACCTTAGCAGAAACCCTTCAAGCCGAAAAAAAATCATCAAAATTAGGGTTTATAAAAAGTTTAAACATCCCCTCGCCTTCAAAATACACTCACAAACATAAAACTTTATTTGCTTGTGAAATAAAACAATATGAGGCCACTAAGCCAATTTATTATAGGCCGAAACCTATTAGGTCAAAAAAGGAAACAAAAACAAAAAAGTTGAAAAACAATTCAAAAAAGTTAAAACGAAAGAAAAATCATTAAGTCCCCTCAATCTCAAAACACATACGCCCACACAATATATATTTCTCGCTTGTCGAAAAACGCAATATTAGGCCATTAAGCCATTATCATATAGATCGAAATCAAACAAGCTGAAAAAAGAAACGATAAAACAGAAGCCGAAAAAAATTTCTAGACATGAAAATATTGAACTTTAACTTCTCTTAAATTTTTAGCAATTTGTGTGATCCAGAGGTGAGCAACATAAATACGTTTTACGGGAAACGAATAAACATAAGGTCACTAAGCCGATGAAATACAAGACGAAATCATTTGGGCAGAAAAAGTGTTCAGCGAAAAAAAAACGAAGTCAAGAAAATACAAACTGCCGAAGTAAATCAAAACACTAAAAGCAACTACAATGTAATTTGCGCATTGAATACAAACAATTGTTCAGTGTGGCAACTAAGCCGACAAAACATATGCAGACAAATAAAAGCCGATAAAATTTTTGAAACAGAATATTTCCCGTTTGAAAAAAAACAGGTCTAGCCACATACGAAACTAGGATCTTTGCCGTTCCCGGCGTATTCGTTACCTCCAGACCAAGTTAGCTGCAGACACAAAGTAAATTGAATTTATTATGAGCGTAACCTAAATTTACCAGTTCTAACTTTGAAAATTCTGTGAGCAAAGTTATTTACGGGAAAAAAAATCTAGAACCCGATTATCGCAAGGGTTATAAAAGAATCAAAGACTTTTATTTGCAATATAAACATAGCCAACTGATAGTTGGAAAAGAGTAATGAACGCAAGGAAACTGAAACAAAAACTGACTTGTTTTTTTCATAAATCTTCAACTTTTGAATTTCGAAGAAAAAAACAGACGGCCTTAAAGCTCTTTGAATTAATAGAACAATTTATGATGGACACTTTTTTGTTAAAATTAACCCAATTTGAGAAAACTGGATCAAAAGGTAAAACTTTTATTTCGCTGGGAAATCTGATAAATAATTTCCATTTTACAAATATCGAAATTAAGCCGACAAAGCATTAGCAGACAACTGAAAGGACGATGAGTTTTTTGATACTAAATACTTTGGATTTAAAAAACAGTTGCTGACCGGATTCGAGCCTAGGCTCTTAGCCGTCAACTAGTTAAATTAACCAGTAATTAAAATTGAATTTACAAGAAACTGAACAGAATTGCTGCAGAATTGAATGCTGCACAAATGATTCAGTGATTTTGTTTAACTAGTTAATCCGAATAAAAGTTTACATTCCGATTTGATAACGCTTGCTTTACTCTTTGTTTGAGAGTATTTATAATTTGTTACCACTGGTTAAACGCAAAATTGGTTAAGCCGATTTTATTGAAACAGTTTTAATTGGTTAATGGTTAAGAAATCGGTTCAACTTTTTTAACTGGACATCACTGGTTATGAAGGAACCTTCAGCTGCAAACTGAAAATAATTTCAAATTGAGTGGGCTTAAGACATTTGATTTTTGCTATTGTTTTATTGTTTCGACCACGAGAAGTGGGGAGGAACTTTGTCTTCAGGCGGGGGTGTGTTTTTTGAAACTTTATTCCACGGTAAATCAGGTGCTAAATCAGAATAATGATATATCACATTTAAGCCCTCACAGTCGTGAAACGAACAGTGACACTGAGGCCAAGTAGCACTTCGCATACACAAGCAAAAATATGACCGATAACGCTACTGGGAAAAACTGAATGAGTAAAACTTTGAGTCTACAAAATTTCTTAAGTGAAGCACGCCAATTATGAGTCTACATAAATGCTAAGTGACGCAAGCCAATTATGACGCATTAGCAGTACCAGTCACTTTGAAAAAAAATTACCTACATGCCTCAATTTATGGAGCGGACGCATTTTAACTATTGAAGTAAAACATCCAACTCTGCCCAGGTTCAAACCCTCTTATTTTTTGCAGTCTCATTACTATCTCTACGCTACATATCCATGATTCCTTGAAGCTAAAGTGCTATTTGTAACATAGTCGTCTGAGTTAATATACTTAGCATTGGCTGTACTTAAGATCTGGTTATTGATCAAAATGAACACATACTGTCGCAACAATATTTGCGTCGCAACAATATTTGCCACTTAGATTGGAAAAAGAGAGTTCATACTATAACACTAGCTTTTCTTGTGTAAAAACTTCAACTAACCTTTCTTGGTGTCGAGAAAATCCGGTTTCATTTACTATTTTTTTCTGCTAGTCGGTTTTGGCTGGATAAACTATCCAAAACATGCATCGTTTGGAACAAGTATGACATAGAGGCGAAGCTTTGCTTCGCAAACACTTGCGGGAACACGACAAAAAGCAGCTGTGTGAAGTGCAATAAAAATTAGAAAAAAGCCTCGAATTAGCAACAATTCGACTACCTCTGAGATTCGAACCTGCGACCTAGTCATTAAGAGTCTCTCACATTAACCACTCAGCCACTGAAGCTTAATGAGCCACAAACACTAGCCGCCGCAAATAAAGCAGAGAACAGATGCTGTGCAATTTCCAATGCTACTGTGAAATTTCCTTAATAATTGAACACTTTTAATAAACACTTATTTGCGAGTTAGGCTAGAAGAGGTTCGTAATATCACACTAAGATGATCGGAAGTGTAAACAGAAAATTATTAAATTGGTTTCAATATTGCAACAAAGCATAAATGGTTACACCAATTTAACTTGAAATACTATAATTGCCCAATGGTTAAAATTCAGCCCAATTTATTTAACTGGGCATCAGTCTGTGAGCTATTTATAAACATCTTATTTTGATTATCCACCTATATTTAGCAGATAAAAATTTAAGAAACTAACTGAAATCATGTTCGGATAGCTTCTTGGTACTATTGATGGACAATTCTTTCGGAATGGGCGCTAAGTTGTCCGCTATATTGTGCAGCAAAATGCTCCGGTATGTCACTTTGCTATTCGTGAAAATGAGAAACGTGCATGTTAACTCCAGCCACAGCAAGACAACAAACCTAAACGAGGACATTGCAAAATGATTTCAAAATTGGAACGAACGATTAGGGATAATTTGGCAAAGAAAGTAAGTTAATTAACAAATAAACACTAAACTTTATTCATGGATTTTTTGGCAACTTGTTTTTCAAGTGCCCAAAAAATGTTTCCCAGAAAACCGAATTCAAAACACATAGGCGAAGCAAAACCTCAAATATTTTTCTCAGTAAAAACTATCTGCTCCTCAAACATGGCCTCTAAGCCGATATATTACAAGCCGAAACCTTTTAAGCCGAATAAGATTTGTCAAACAAAAACTGATATACCGAAGTCTGGGTTAGTAATCTTGCAACCAACATTTTAAAAAAATTTGAATAGAACGGGAACTGAATTGCAGACACATTTTACCTGTTATCCTTAGCGCAATAAGGAATTATAATGAACAGAACGAGCTGGCACATCAATGTGAATCCACCAACGACGTCCATGGTCCACGAGGCCATGAAATGGGGGCGATAATACCCTAGCTCATAGTAGTGGCACTTGATCTGATAGCTTCGGAAAGCATGAAACGCCACTAAAACACAATTCTATTAATACAGACAAACGCACAAGCGAAGCGAACTTTCTTTATAAAATGCTTGTTATAAACAATTCTAAACGTTTCAAGAACGATGTATTTAAGAACGATGTTTTTCATCTTATTACAATCGCAATATAACATTTTTGGCTGATAACACGAATTGATAGCGAGTTGGCCAAAAAACTTTTTTTTTAAATCTAAAACTCATATTTTGGTCTATATACTTCAATTGAAACGCGACGGAGATTATGCTGAGATAACAGCGATAAAGGGGGGGGGGGAATTCAACCATTAAACGTTTCACAAAAAAAAACGGTCAAAAATCGGTCTACCGTCCTTTTCTAAATTAAATTAGCTATGTCATATAACGCGTTTATCGAAACTTATGTTGACTATGATAAACGAGTGGTATGATATGTGATATGCTAAGGATACGCTAAACGAGCGGTGTGCTGAGTGCAATGGAGACGAACTCACTGTATCCAATATACACCATGCCCCTGAGAGATGTCACAAATATGCCATGTTGTCCCGGGAATCTCAGAAAAGTGAACCTGTTTTGAAAGGTTCCATGTTTATAGTTCAGATAACACGTATAGAAGTCCATACAAACAACTGCTATCAGGAATATCCATGATATCACATGTGCTATGATATAGCGGATTCCTCGGTTTGTGTAGTAGGACTTTTTTGGCTTAAATTGAAATTTAGTTTTCTGGTCTTGACTTGTTCCTGGCTGAGTTCCATAAGTGTAGTCACGTTTCAAAAACAACCTCCAACTGGATCGAGACAATAAACAGAAATACTTTCGATTAGTTAGGCAAGATCTTTTTTTTTAAACTTTTTTTCTCGTTTTTAAGCTTTTTTAACTTCTCGTTTTTAAGCTAAATCGACTTGAAACATGAATTTTAAAAAGACAACGAATTTTAAATCAACGAAATTAAACATTGAGAAATTTATTTTCCATCCAAGGCAGTAAAATTGTTGGCGTAATTTGTAACACTACTTTAAAACTACCCACAATGAAACTACCTGAAAACTATCAATTACATAGAGGCAAAGCTGAGCTTCGCGTCCTTTGCGATACAGAGCAAGCACAGCATTGCAAGCTAGCGAATCGAAAATCAGACGGAAATAAGAAAATCAAAAAATATTGGTAAAAATGAAAAGAATTTCAGAAAAACAGCAGAAAACAACCACCAGTGTTAAATAAACTTTTAGCATTTACCAAGCGGCACTTAGCCGACAACAAGTGGGCAGAGGTCAATTCATCCGAAAACAAAAATATGCAATAAAAATGTTGTCAAAAAAATTTGGAAAATATACGACGAAGGGGTATGAATTTTATAAATGACAGGAGTAAGCCAAAAACTAAACAACTAAGCAGACAAAACATAAGACGACAAACGAAAGTCCAACAATTCAACTTTTTCCGGAATTTTTTTTTCTATTTCATTCATACTGCAATAAAACAAGGTCCGGGCGGGACTCAAAACCCAGACCGTAGGGTAGAAGGCTACCTCGTTACCTGTAGGCCAAATGGGAAAAGGTCTCGAAGTTGATAAGTTTCACAATACAGCAACTTCGCAATGTCTTAGATGTGTGTAAAATTGTTAACGGGAAAAAAATCTAGTTTTCGATACAAGACACTTGCTCTCGCAACTGTAATTATAGTATAAAAACAATTCTTAGAACAGTTTCAGGCTCTTTTACCATCCCCCAAAGCCAACAAAATTAGAGCGTGAGGCTTTGTTTTCAGAGGATTGTTGACCAAATGGATAATAGACATACTTGTCAAATATCAAAACAATCATTTCATTTGGTAAAAATCAAAAGGAACGGTAGTTGAAAATCCTAAAAAGCCCTTTATTATTTGTATCTTAAGGGTAAAAAGAAGCTACTCACTTTGACGAATATGAAGAATTCGAATGCGCTGAGTCAGACATGCAGCTCACTGATCTTTCAAAAACAAATCATCATCTGAAAAGTAAGGATTTAATTTAATCTTTAGATTTAATTCAAACTTTGGATATTCCTAAAACCCCTTATTGCCGTTTTTTTGTGAATCAGTAGCAATCGGAAATCGTCTTTAAAAGGTTAAATTTTCAACTGATATGACTCATTTCGAAACTATTGATATTGGGGATGTTTTCTTGGAAATTTGGATAGAGAAAATTGACGTGAAAAATGACAAATTTTTTCTAATAAGACTGATAAAATTCGGTCGAAGTCATCAAAAGACTTTATAAATTTAACTTAAAAGGAGAGCAATGTCATAATTGGCTGGGAGATAGTTGACAAAATAGAGCGTTGCTTTTAGGAGTACCTTCAATCTGGGGTAAAACCTATCAAACTGGGGGACTTCGTCAACAAAAAAGCCTATTTTTTGACAGAAGTAAAGCGTGACCTATATTCTTAAATTGATCGAACTCAGTATCAAAACTTGAAGCTTATTTCAAAGAAATTCTTGAGACGACTGAAGTTGAGCCAAAATGAGAGTTATTTTATTCTCCATCCTCATTTCCATCTGCTGTTTTTGCATCTCCGACTCAGCGAAATCAGCATACCACACACTACCAGGTAAACCAAAAATATCTTGTATAAACCCAAGATGTCTATGAACCAATTTCTGTAAAAATGGCCCGCAATTTTTTTTTAACCTATTTTGTATAATTTGAATCATAGCTGTATAACTTTCCAATAATTTTCATTGAAACGTTTGTATTTGAAAACAAGCAACAATTTCGAAAAAAAAACCAATTCAGAGATAAATATTTTTCAAATGTTTTCAATTACTCTTGATATAGATTAAAAATTGAAGGCTCCAGATTAATTAAAAAGAGCCCGAAAAGTTTTTTGAAATAAATAAAAATTTCAGGAACAAAAATTTTTGTCGAATAGTGAAAATAAGCTATTTTTAGAGACATCTGATATTGACAGGCGGAAACTAATGCTTTGAATTGAATATATTAAAAACTTACTTACAAACCAAAAGGCGCGACGGTCGTCGCATTAAATATCTCAAACAACCCAAACTAGAACACATCACAGTGCCCAATTAATACCAACAATGATTTGAACTTCATCGCTTAACCAGCCATAGTTTCAATTGCCGTATGCCGCATAATCTATCGTCACGCTACGATTTTTTAACTCTTAACACACCCAATTCTTAACAGTTAAATCAACAGCAGTTTCGCAGAAGAATATTTAGACGGCCAAAACCATCGCAAGTTTATTACACAGAGGTGAAGCTGGGCTCCGCAAAAACTTGCGCGAACACGACAAAAAGCAGCTCTATCAAGTGACAAAAGAAAAAGGAGAAATAACCCTCGAAATTGCAAAACTCGAGGCCTAGCAAAAACTCGAATAAGCAAAAAAAATCTGCGCCCTAGCATATTTGAGTCTCACGCACTAACTCCCAACCACGGATGCCTAAAATCCCCAAAAACTAGCCACCAATAATGCAACTACATATGCTAATAAATTGCCAGTTCGATGCAGCAAAAGTAGCACCAAATACAAAAAGATACAATTTTGCATGTAATAAATTGCAAATCATAAAGCGACATTATGTAAAAGTTATGCATTTCAAAAAATTGCGAGATATATTGAGTTAAAAAATTTCTGAAATCGATATTTTATTATTGTTCCGTTGTTTGAAACAAATAGCTTTTTTCGGTTCACTTGATGAATTAAAAATGCATCAACTGTGTAAACTTATAACAATTCGAATTTCAAAGCAATTCGAAATTTTATCAATAACTGTACAGGTGCAACAAATAAGCTGTCATGCCGATTGGATGCAGCAAATATTGTTGCTTTATGTCACAATAATATTTGCGACTTATTTGCAACAAAATTTGCGACTTAGGTTGAAAAAAAAAGAAAGTTCGTACAATAATACTTTTCGCAAGTGTAAATAGCCAACAAAACCATCAGGTTTTTTTGGAAAATACCTATCAAAATGCTGGATTAGCCGTTGAAGTTGATTGAAGTTACACAGCATAGCTTTTAACTGAAAGTCAAAGTGGGGCTTAGCATAACTTGGGAAACAACAAAAGCATAGTATTGTAAGGTAGCGTTTAAAAAATCAGACGGATATCAATACGTCCTAACTTTTGAAAAATAAGACGAATTCAAATTCAGGAAAAAAAAAGTCGAAAAATACAACCACAGTCAGAAAAAGCTTTCACTTACTGATTAGGTACTAAGCCTTGAGTAGAAGTCCGTTGAGCCGAAAAAGGCCATAACTAATATCAAATATTTTTTAAAAATTGAAGCTTTTATACTCCATTTCCCTGAAACATTCAAAATGATCCATTTTTCCGGCAAATTATGAAAAAGAAATTGACAGAGCTGATACGACATAAGTCAAAACTATTTGATTATCTTTAAAAAAAAACGATCAAATTCGATTTTCAAAATATGAATTGGTAAATTTAAACATTAGAACGACTGTCAAATACAGTAAAAATTGATTAAATCAGAAAAAAAATTCCATGATTTGGAAATTTAGCAGACGAAAAATGAGCAGACAAACAGAAGTCCGATAATTCTCCCAGAAAAAAAATCAATTTTATACATACTGGAAAAAAAATCAGAAACTGGTATGGAGGCGCCTGCATTACTTTTAGACCAAATGAAAAGGACTCTTGAAGTTGTTTAGGTTCGCTGATATTGCAAACTCAACGTTTTACAGATTTGTAAAAATTGTTTACGCGAAAAAAAGTCTAGTACCCGATTACAAGTCACTTACTCTCGCAAATGGAAAAATGGGCACTCTAAATTACAAACTTTGGGGTCTGTTTACTTATTGCGCCCAAATTTACTTAAAAGCGCTCTAGTAAATTTAATGTTTACTGATTGTTCAAACTATTTTTGGCGAACGAGTTTAATTCCAACGATCAGATTTTGAGTTTTTCATTTAGTTTAAATGCTTCGAATTGCGCGGAATAAGTTAAAAGATCCGAAACCTTGTACATCGCTTCAAATTTTAATTGTTCGTACCACTCTCGAAGAGTGGAAAGGAACAAGTACAAGGGTCGTTTTTTCAAAATTTTCCAGCTAATTTTGACTTCAACGAAAGCTCGCAGGGGGTCAAGTGAGGTATCATATTAAAGCCGTATTCATAGTGACTGGCAGGTTGGGGGTTTAAGACGTTTTTTTATCCAATTATACTATGAAAACATATTTTAAACGTAAAAAACATTGTTTTTTGAGGTTTTTTTCCAAAAGTACCTATTTCTGCTACTGTTATCAAAATAACTACTAAGCAAAACATGAAAAAGGCTATCAATAAACATCCGGTTGCTTCCGCAATGACCCGGCAAAGCGGAAGCACTAATTTGCGACATCAAAAGTGCGTCTCCGCTTGCGCATCAAAAAAGTGTATACATATTGTTATATTTCTCATTTTGTTTTAAACATGTTTTTTCTTTATTTTAAATTGATTTTTACTCATTTGTGTTTTAAGAGTTTCGAAAAAAGTGCCGCACCAGTGACTGGGATCCTAAAAGTATTGAAAAAATTTTCAATTTTCAGATTAAAGTAGATAGAATTTGCCGAGAACCACCTCATCAATATAATTCTACAAGTTAATCATCATTTTAGCTTAAAAAAATTATAATTTAATATAACAGTTTTTCAACATTTTTCAGTCACTCTTTACAAAAAAAAATTACAAGAAAGCTCAAGGAACTGATAAAAAGTGAACCGGAAGGCACTACTATAATAGAGTGGTCCCACGAAAAAGCGACTATGATAGACAGGTCCCGCATGTATTTCGCATGCTCTTATTTTGGAAACTAGTTTGTTTATAAATTATTCATTTCATAAATATCGCAATATATAATGAATCAGAAACCTTTCAGACTAAAAGTGTAATTACTATATTGTTTATATCAAGAAATATGCTCGTTTCAACTTATTTTACGGTTAAACAACAATAATTGGATTGGCTTATTTGACATCAAAACTCGATTTTGGCAATTTTTTTTTGAATTTTTCACTTTGAAATGTTGAGGGAGGAGCTTTAACGAACCTAATAAAGTTAGAGTTAGTTTGAAAATATACTGCGACAACTTTCTGAACGGCGAAATCATAATTTTTAAACATTTCAGAGCCCTAGGTCTCTTATTCTTAAGGGACCTGGTTATTTTCAAGGGACCACTCTATCAAAGTAGTACCATCCGGAATTCCATCAGACAAAAAAGACTTAAGCAATTTGGCAGCAGCTTTTTTGAGCAAGAAAACTTCGATAAAGCATGAAAATTTACTTAGCAATTGACGAGGCAACTTAATAAAAACTAATTGATGTCTAGTAGTTGATATAAAACAATGGCATTACACCGTATTCGCAAAGAAATTCTAAAAACGATCAAGACGATTGCGAGAGAGACCAACAGCTTTAGTCAAATTGCAGTTAAAGCGGCACGGCATCCAGTTAACTCTTCGCTACTAATCAGGTTGTAAATTAGACTCAAACTTATGAAACTTACCTAGCAATCTGTTTTAGGGATTATGGGAAAACGTACTTATGAACAGCAAAAACATCCAGCAGGGCAATGGAGTGTTTGGCAGCCCAGCAACTTCAAGCGTTACGACTGGGACTCCTACGATTTGTACTGATACTAACTGATCTGATTAAATTATCATAAAACAATTCATACCTAATATGATCTTGATTGTTGGAACTTGTGATTTACAGAACAGGCAATTCGATAAGTGATATTTGTAAACACACTTTCGCTTTACGATTAAGCGCGATGAATTAAAACTCAAGACATTATGAGATGAAAAAAATTAATGAATTTCTGTTTTCTCAACCGTTGTCGAAAGCCATACTTGAAATAAAAACTTAAAATGATTTTGCAGACCTAACTCAAACACTCCGTTTCGTCGCCGCTAATTTTGAACTTATGGAAATCAAATCAAGATGCAAATTTATGAAAATTAAACAGAGGCGGAGCTGAGCTTCGCA